TGGCACTCCTTTCTTAAAAGTACAACCTCATTTTCAGTGTTATATTTGACTTTTTGACCCATTTATCATTCTATGAAATAATTTTCTTTCTGAATTCAGATAACATTTTACCTACTGATTGTTTACTCCCATATTTTTATTCCTTCCGAAGGCTTATATGCACATGCACAAATCAAATTTTAAAATATTACGAAATAAGAACTGAGATTATCACAATGATTATATCAACATAATTTTATATTGATCTGCTTTTCAATTAAAATAAGTTTTTGTGGCACAGAGGTTGAAGTGCTCAGCAGAACCTCAAAGGTCAGTGATTAGAAACTATGAGTCACTCTGGGGAGCCTGGGGTGGGGTGGGGGGGCAATTCTACTCTGTCCCAAAGGGTTACTACAAACCAGAATCAACTCCACAGCAATGGAATTTTTTTCCCCTTTCAATTATTAATCAGTCAACCAGATGACATAAAGTGGAGTAGAAGTAATTACAGATACCTAATTCAATAATGATTTATTTCTCCCTTGTACAAGTTGACTTTAAATCACTGGATCACTTAATTTCCTCATTTTCTGTCAATTTTAAAATAATAACACTTGATATATACAACAGAAAGACTTAAACAAAATATAAACTTAATTTTTATTCCAAAATGCTTTGAGCACTTCAAAAAAAAAAAAACCTGATCATTTTATTCAGAGCCCACCTGGATCTTTCAAATTTTCTGCTATTGATCTTTATAACTAAAATTCTATTTATTGTAAAACTGAAATTATTTTATGTTACCGTAAGACACAAAAGAACAAACATTATATGAGACCACTTCAATAGAGGTTAATAAAAAATAAAACTATACAATAAAGACTTTTATACCAACAGGGGGAGAGGGTGATGGAGGGGAGATAAAGCAATAAGCTAGAGTTTGGGAAGTGTTGTGACTTGGGTGAACTGGAACACAGTAGTTCACAAGAGGTAAATGAAACAAGGGGCAGGTGATAGGTAAACGATTCGGGGGGTGATTAGTAGTTTAAAATGTAGAATACAAAGTTGACGATCTGAAATAAAACCCTGCCTCACTGACACTGTGGCTGCAACAATGAAGGTCGAACATGTGGGTGGGACAAGAAGAAAATAGAAGAAAGAACCAGGAAGCAAAGAACATTTATAGAGGTCTAAATACAGGCATGTACGTATGTCAATATATTTACTTAAAACGAGAGGAGAACCGATCTATGTACTTATATCTACATGTTAAGAATTAAGGTAGCAGATGGACGTTGGGCCTCGACTCAAGAACTCCATTAACACAGGAACACTTTAGTCTAATAATCCGGCATTCTGTGATGCTCACCTTCCCGACACGATTGCTGAAGACAAAATGGGTGCATAAGCAAATGTGGTAAGAAAGCAGATGGTGCCCTGTGATTAAAAGTTATAGTGTTTGGGGTCTTAAAGGCCTGAAGATATCTCAACAAGATAAACTTTGTTGAGAAGTAACAAAGTCCACATGGAAGAAACACACCAGCCTGTGTGATCATGAGGTGTCGACTGAATCAGGTATCAGGCATCTAACACCCAGAACAAAATCATACCAATGTGAATGGGGGTGTGTGTGGAGTGGAGACCCAAAGCCCATCTGTAGACAATTGGACGTCCCCTTACAGAAGGGTCACAAGGAAGAGATGAGCCAGTCACGGTGCAGTATAGCACCAATGAAACACACAACTTTCCTCTAGTTCTTTAATGCTCCCCCACACGCACACTATCATAACCTCAATTCTACCTTACAAATCGATTAGACCAGAGAATGCACACTGTTACAGATAAGAGCCCGCAACACAAGGAATTCAATATAGATAAACCCCTCAGGGCCAATGATGAGACTAGACATACCAGGAGGATAAGGGGAAGTTTGGGGAGAAAGGGGAAATTGATCACAAGGATCAATATAGGTATAACCCCCTCCCAAGGGGACGAACAACAGAAAAGTGGGTGAAGGGTAACAGAGACAATGTAAGATATGAAAAATATAATCTATAACTCACCAAAGATTCATGAGAGAGGAAGGGCAGGGAAGGGATGGGGAAACAGAGGAGCTGATATCAAGGGCTCAGGTAGAACAAAAATGGTTGAAAATGATGATGGCAACATATGATGGATGGATGGATGGATGGATGGATGGATGGATGGATGGATGGATGGATGGATGGATTGTAATAAGAGATGTAAGAGCCCCCAATAAAAATATTTAATAAAAGAAGAAAAAGAAAATATGTATTGTTTAACTGACTCCTAAGTGTCTTTGGGGCAAAATGTGTCTTAACACAGTCAGTACAAATAAGTTTGTTTTATTTTTCAAAGAATTTTTCCAAAGAATGCATTGAATTTTCCAAAGAATGTATTGCATTTGCTGTGAGAAAAGACAAATTTTATTTAAATAATTCCTACAAAAAATGGTATTGCCATAGGAGCTGACTGATTCTATGAACCTCAAATTTTATAATTCTCTATTGTTAATTTAATTATATCTTCCAATGAAAAATGATGAAGATTTTTTGAAGTTGAAATTTTGCTAGATTTTCCCTAACAATCCCATTGATTGTGGTACGAATGGGATCTATTTGGATATAGTAAAGTAAAAGCACATGGCAAAAATATCAGGGTTTTGATTTGAGTAAAATCAAAAGAAATGGGCTAGACAGACTTTAGAAAACAATAAAGGTTCATCATTCTTCATTTCACTCAATCCTACATATTCCCATGGAGAGTGGGAATCCTTCAGAATCCTAGAGTCAAAGAAAGAATACCACAAAAACCCTCATTATTATTTATCGTATTCTTGTATATGAGTTTATTAATCAAAGGGAGCACTCCAACAGTGCCCCCTTCAAATTCTCTGTGCCCATTCAAGCCTTCCATTAGTTTCAGAGCCTAAGTTTTGAGAATCTGGTTTGCAGAAGGTGATGGATGACACTAGGCGCCTAAGATACATTTATAGGTACTACATAGGAAGTAAGCCTCTAATGATCTCTCTCTATCCATAATTGATGGGTGAGAAGAAAGTGGTGTCTACACTAAATAGATCTGTCTCTGTCCACAATTGGAGAGGTGAGTACCGAAGATCAAGGGGATAACCCGGACTGGAACGGTTCAGACCTTGTCAGCTGATCCCCACTGATGGGCTAGATCTGGTTTCAACATTTTCTGTATTTTTGTTTTGTGTTTTTGTTTCTCTTTGTTCATATTAGGGTTTATCTCACAAGTGTTATGTAATTGGAAGTCATCCGCTGGAAATTTTGTGTTTTTCAGTGTATGAAATCCAGGATTGATGAACCTATAGGGATATCAAAGAATAAGGGTTACAGGGGGGTGGGGGATAGAATGGGGGATGGTGCATAAGAGAGACATGTCAAGGAGTCCAGGCAAAAAAAGAATGTTTGGTAACTGATTTTGGTAACAAATGTGCAAAACTGCTTGGCATTACTGAACTATGGAATATGATATATGTATTAACTCCCAATTAATTTTTAATGCTCTCACTTTCATTTTCCTGACTTCAATGTTCTTTACCTGGCAGAAGATAATGCACGTTCATACCCACCACCTGTGGTTTCCATATTCAGGACAATATTTCTACCTATACTTCTACAGTCCATTCTTGGAGTGGTATATTATAATTCTGCTCGAAATAAAGTTGGTATAATTTTATGTGCAATGCACTTTTCGAAGTTCTAATGAAATCTCTCTGCATTTACTTCCCCACAATTGTTAAAAATATCTATTCAGTGTTCAAGCTACTGTGTCACCAGATACTGTGGTTGGTAACTTGATATGTCCAACATCAATTAGTATTTCTCTTAAAGTGCGGGGAGATCAGTATTAATGAAAGGGAAAGATATAGCACCTGGGGTCTTAAAGGCTTGAAGGCAAACAAGCAGCCATCCAGCTGAGAAGCAACAAAGCCCACATGGATGAAGCACACCAGCCTGTGTGACCACAAGGTGTCAAAGGGATCAGGTAGCAAAGAACAAAAATTAATATCATTGTAAATGAGGGGGAGTGCAGATTGGGGACCCAAGACCCATCTATAAGCAACTGGACATCCCTTACAGAAGGGTTGCTGGGAGGAGCCGAGCCAGTCAGGGTAAAGTGTAGCAACAATGAAGCATACAACTTTCCACTAGTTTCTAAATGCTTCCTCCCCCCACTATCATGATCCCAATTCTATCTTACAAATATGGCTATACCAGAGGATGTACATTGGTACAGATAGGAACCGGAAACACAGGGAATCCAGGACAGATGATCCCTTCAGGACCACTGGTGAGAGTGGTGATACCAAAGGGTGGAGGGAAGGAGGGGTAGGAAAAGGGAATTACAAGGATCTGCATAGAACCTCCTCCCTGGGGGATGGACAACAGAAAAGTGGGTAAAGGGAGACGTCAGACAGTAGAAGACATGACAAAATAATAATAATTTATAAATTATCAAGGGTTCATGAGGAGGAACTAGCAGGGAGGGAGGGGGGAATGAGGAGCTGATGCCAGGGGCGTAAGTGGAGAGCAAATGTTTTGAGAATGATGAGGGCAACGAAGGTACAAATGTGCTTGACACAATGGATGGATGTATGGATTGTGATAAGAGTTGCATGAGCTCCCAATAAAATGATTTAAAAAACTACTTTTTCAAAAAGGATATAACAACAAAAATGAAATGATAATTTATATAATAAAGAAAAATAAACATGCCCTCAATTTTTATTATTATAACATGCTAGAGAATCAACCAAAAAAAGGAAATCCCTTAATGAAATGAACTGACATATTGGACATAACAATGGACCCAAACACAACAACTTTAAGGACAGCTCAGGACCGGGCTACTTAGAGGGCCATGTGTTCAAACCTACTTAATGGCCTCTCACAACAATGGCCATTTCCGTCATTGTCAATAATGTATTGTTTTACAAGCTTTTGCCGTGCAGGCCTTTTGGCTGTTTTTACCTGCTTGATCTTTAAATATTTTTGATATGACGACAGGGACCTTGTGTTCAGCACCTCCCTGAAAGACAAAATCCACAGAAGGAGACTTCAGTTATCCTTATTTTATTTAAAAAAAATATGTTCATTCAAGAGAAAAAGCAGGAAAAGGTAAAATATGCTCATACCTTTATACTCAGTCCCAAGCCTCCAATAGGGTGTCTGCGAAGTGTAACAGTTCTGTGCTTTAAAAAAGTTCAGAAAACAAACTAAGTTTAGGTTGAAGCTAAAATGAGTTATCTAAACTCTTAATGTAAAATTAAACAAATGTGTATAACATATTTTGAAACAGCATTGTGTAAATACTATTACAAAAACGACATCAAATCACAATATTATAAATGTTCAAGTCAAGCTTCTTTTGAATATGTAGAAATAAAGATACTGATAAAAATAGGAACTATTTTAAGTTATATAAGTCATAAAAAGAGCCTGGTAGACTGGCCAAATGATTGCCATTTTATATTTAAGGAATGAAGGCTCAGAATAATGAAAGGACATGCCTGTGTTCTTCAAGTCAGTGCAAACAGCCATTACAGTGCAAACTTGATGCTTAAAAAAATCTGCCTTTCCACTCATTTACCAAACTAACCCCCTATTGACTATACATTCCTGCGTAGTTCATTTATGTTAAGTCAACTTTTAAGTAAGCAATATTAATTATGAATTATCAACTTTGATGACAGGTTCCAGCGACATCCTCGGGAATGCAGTGGTTAAAATACTGGGCTGCCAACCCAAAGGTCAGTGGTTGGAACCCACCGGCTGCCCTGTGGGAGACCAAGGCTGCATCGGCAGAGACTGCCAGCCTTATAAACACTGTGTGACCATTCTCCTCGGTTTTGCAGATCCATTATGAGTAGGAACTCATTCTGTGACCACGGGCTTGGCTGTTTGCTTTATGTTCAGAGGTACTTGAATTTTATGGTGGAGCCAATGTCATCAAGTCTGTTCTGAGGTATAATTGCCTTATATGTTTCTGAAACGCAGGCCTTTACAGGACCCGACGACCACCTCTTTCTTTCATAGCGTCACTGATGCATTTGAACCATCAGCAGTCCGGAGGATAAGCAGTCCGGTGCCTATTCCCCAGCACCAGCAGGGTGCCTTGAAAGGTGAAAGTGGTGAGAAAATCTAAATGACAGGAAGTCTTTCATAACCTAATGAAATATGCAGAATCTCCAAATCTTTTATATATTAAATAATACAATTCTATTTTTTGGTAGTCTAAACTATGAGCCCTGGTGGTGCTGCAGGATAAACAATGGACTGTTAGCCTCAAGGTCAGCAGTTCAAACCCACCAGTTAGTCTTTGAGAGAAAGATGAGTCTTTGTTCTTTCTGGTTCAGGTCCTGTCAAGATTTAAAGCCTTGCGAAAGTCACCCAGACTTGCGATGAGTCAGTATGTTTCCGGGCTATGCGTACAGTTTACAGCAGCTCCTTTTCCCGAAGCGGACAGCCCGTTCTTTCCCTGTGCAGTCTGTTGTTAGCCCAGAAGCTCCTCTGAAAGCTGTCCATTGTGGGTGACCCTGCTGGCAACGGAGGTACTAGTGCCACAGCAACACACAAGCCGCCGTGTTTAGAAGAAAAGAGCTTTACTTCAGTGTCTTTAGCTTCTCAGAAACGGTTTCTTTTTCCTTATCCTAGATTGCATTCAAATGAGATTGATGAATGGAAAAGTTACAGTTGTTTCTGAGAAATATATAGTTTCCTTTCAAAACACAGTCTAAGTATTTAATTGAAATTTCAAGAAAACATTTCATTTGTATATTAACCAAAGGACAGAAATAAATTCTATTGTAAATCCTATTCTATTGTAAATCCTGTTGTGATGGCACATAATTCCCAAGGGTGTTTTCATTGGAAACTGAGGGGGGCTATCCCTTTATTTGGGGAGCATATGATTTTCTCCCCTACAACTAAGAAAGTTAATTTTCTAAGTAAGTGTTTCATAATGAACATGAACTGACAGGAAAGGAAGGTCCTATGCCTTCACGCATTCAAAGACATATTCGATTAACTAAGATCCTACCAGTTTACAGTATGAGCAATTCCAATGACAAAAACCACCTACCAATTGTTTCTGTGAGATTCAGTAATACGATACATACTTCTAAGAAAACATTATAAGCAACAGTGGATTAGATCAGTGGGGTGGTTCACATGGTAAACACTTGAAGCTGCTAATTAGAACTTGGAGGTTTGAATCCAAGCTGAAGCGATTTGGAACAAGAGACTGTGAATCTACTTTTTTAAAAAGGCAAGCACTGAAAACTCTGTAGAGGACAATTCTACTTGGACACAGCGGGGCCAGGAAGAAGTTAGGAGCAACTCACCAGTAACTTATCTTAAAATATAATACCAGTCCGGAGTCCCTATTCTACTCAGACGTTACACAATCTCAGCCATCAAATGAACGTTTCAACCTTACTGAGAATAAGCAAATAGAAATGCCTTCAAAGGCTTTATGAAAAATCCCATTATTGTTTAATGCCAGCTTCTCAAAACTTTTGAAGCCTTCACATATTACGTCAAGTCAGAAAAATATGTTTTGAGAAAACACAAGTTTGTGTGCCTCAATAATTTACCAAATAGCCATGGCATATATTTTACAGTTTTCATTTCATTCATTAATAAATAATTTAAAATAAATAGTAAGCATGTTACTTGTTGTTAAATAAATGAACTCCTACCAAACAAACCGGACTATTCCAAACAGGTTTTAAACAGGATATATATACTAAAAGATTTAGAGACCCCATTATCTATTATTATCTTAAGCTGCCATCTTGAACTTTGAAAATGTTCTAAAATGTCATTTTGGTGCCAATTAAAACAAGTTATTTAAATAGATCTGTTCTTGCATCAGTAAAATGGGAATAATAATATGTTCCCTAGGTAGGAAAGCAAGTAAGGTAATTATGGGCAAGGACGTTGGAGATCAGAAAAATTTACTAAAACGGGGCTATTAATCTCACCTATGAAATGTTATTGTTGTCTATCTTTAAAAATTATCTCATTTGAGCAATTTCACTAACTTTTCTAAGTTGGGAGAAACATTTTGACCAAACAATACTCTCATGATTTAACAAATGAAGATTATATAATCATTAAAGCTCTAAATGCTATTTTAATATTAAAATAATGGTGGCACAATGGGTAAAGCCCAGGACAATTGGGAGGCTGGCACAGGACCTGCCAGTGTTTTCTTCTCTTGTGCATAAGGCCATCATGGGCTGGCACTGCCTCCATAGCACCAAACAGCAACACAACAATAACAGACTACAGTTTTTCTCAAATACAAAAAACATACGGAAAACAAAACTGTTGAAGGTTTTAATTAACTTTCACATCACAGCCCCATTAAAGTCACTATGTGTCGTGCTTATGTATCTGAGTGTGTGTCTCTTTAGTTTACTACGATCATACAGCCCAGCTAAAGCTGGACATTTTATTTTAAAGAAAGTTAAATTTTCCATAATTCTGTTAACAGTTATCCATACTAAAACCTAATGCAATAAAAAAAACATTGTCCAATTTGATAAAAACAGGACACTATTTGCTAATATTCTTTTAAAGTCCACCACAAGTACTTGATTGGAACTGACAGATAACGCTCAGTCACACTGTGAAAAACCATGGCCAGATATCCAATACTTACAGGTGTACTCATCTAAACAGTATTTCTTCATTCTCTATACTCAGAGGTTGCATGACCAATCAAAAAGTGAATTCAGAACACATTTAAAACTTATAATAAACTTCTTGGAAATGAAGTCTTAATCCTAAATAGTTTATTCAATAAATTATTTTTAAATAAAACAAGTTTCTGTTTACAAATATATATGTAAATTTTTTTCAGAAAATATGTGTCTGTATTTTATCATTTATTCCAAAGTTATACTTTGAAATTTAATTTTGATCATTTCTTTGTAGCTGACATCATTATAATGGACTTAATGATCATCACATTATCTTCACTATAAATATGTTGACACAGACCTCTATACAAAGATCTAGATAACTCTTATCCATTGCGTAGTTTCCATAGAACAAAGAAGTAGACAAATAAAAAAAAATGCATGAAGGACACTGGAAAGGTTAAATTTCTTAGCCTAGCTAACTAAAATACTATTTTTCAAGTGCTACATAAATAAACTATGATTTGGTCTGCAATTGAATGTTGCACAATTAAATTGTGGACTTAATACCAAATTTGAATTTATAAAACTGGCAAACATATTTTAAGATAGAAAGATTTCAATATTTGGAATGTCAAATTTCAGACTGTTATAAAAATAAATGTTTAGTGCATGTGCCACTAAACTTGCTGTCTCTTTGCTAAGAACCAGGGCCTATTCAGTTCAAAAGAAGTCTTGTTACCCAGGCAATTTGAAACTTTAACATTTCAACTTCGTTTTTCTTGTCTTCTCAAAGAAAATACCATCCCTTTTCCAGGGCTGTTTTGCCTATTGACTGGATGAGCCAAGACTTGCTTTTTAAGAGTAAAATGAACAATAAAGTATTTTTTTCACTATATAATTAAAGCACTTGAAAGAGAAATTTTTTAAAAATAGGCAAATACCTTTATGATATATTTCATTTTAGAAAAAGGTATATTCAAAAATATTTTCAGAAAAATGTTGATGGACTCTTATAATATAAATATGTGTGTTAGATGGCAGGAGAGCAAATCACTAGTCCCTTTTTTTCCTGTAGAGATGGATATTGAGTTACCACCCCATCTATAAAGTACCTTTCTGGCTGGAATTTGCTGTATTTCTCACCATTCTTTCACAATAATTTAGACAAGTAAAATACATTTTAGTAAGATAAATAATCTGAATTTACCATTATATATAAGTAAATTTTTTTTCAGGGATTTAAATTACTAATATTTTGATTCTGGTGCTTAGATCAATTGAAGAGAGATTTAAAAATTATTCTACTAGGTTTTATTGTTTTTATTAGCTGGTATCAGATCAGTGGCCACTCCTGGTGATGCCACACACAACACAATTCAATGCTGCCCAGCACTCTGCCATAATGAAGCAATTGTGGCCAATGGTTTTCCATTGGCTAATCTTCAAAAATAGATAGACAAGCCTTTATTCCTAGTATACTTTTGACAATGCGCTCAGCTGAAATTTGTTCAGCAGCATACCAACATGTAAGCCAAGAATCA